CAATCGACAGCTGGTCAAGAGGAATCCGATGTCGTCTTCTGGTGGAACCGACCTTCGAATCTCTTCACGCGACACTTTCACTCGAAATGGAAGTAAGCTCAACAAAGTCCAGCTCGCCATAGTCTGGAAGAGTATAAGATGTGGGAAGTGTAATGACATTCGACCATCAGTTTCGCATAAAATTGCTCGATCGAGGCTAAATGGTATTTCTATTCAAGATGAACTGAAAACCTTTTCTGTTACAGACAAATAGGTTGATTGTAGCGCAGCCATGCAGGTTTGACAATTTGACAATCACATTCTCTTCCACGAAAGGTCTGGCGTGTGAGGAATAAAGGAAATCGCGTCAGTCTGACGAGGTGGTGGCATGTAGAATTAAAATGGCTCAAATGTCACCAGAGGAAAGAAGCGACCATCATCAAAGAAGAGAATAGACGAAGTGAGGCCGAAGGTGCAGTCGAGTCTAGTCAGTCAGTTGAGAGAGGTTTCCCGAAAAGGATTATCTTTAATCAACAAAATACGAGTCTTGCATATCCTGTCCTCATCTGACCTCATCTGCAAAAACTAAACCGACCTGCCCAGTCCTATTCTGACCAGCCGATCCTGATATTTCACGCTTGTTCGAGGATGATCCAATCATGTATCGCTTGATCCTGTATTAACCTGCCCTGTCGTTATTCTTCCTGATTGCATCGGATCTTCCGGTGGATCCTGTCCTGTTCTGTTTGCTTCTGTATGATGCTTTAATGCCTTGCTGATTCCTGTAGCATCCTGTCCTGACATGCTTCTTTCGGTACGATCCAACCCTGTCCTGGTTGTTCCAACATAACCTGACCTGTTACTTTATGTATGATCCTGTCCTGTTCTGCTTGTTTCTGCATGATCCTTTACTTTCCTTCTGCTTCCTAGAATATTTTGTCCTGTAATGCTCCTTTTCCTTGATCCTTTCCTGTCCTGGTTGTTCCAACATCATCCTGACCTGGTTTTTCTGTATGATTATGACATGATCTGCTTGATCCTGTATGATCCTGTACTGTTCTGCTTGTTTCTGCATGATCCTTTACTTTCCTTCTGCTTCCTAGAATATTTTGTCCTGTAATGCTCATTTTCCTTGATCCTTTCCTGTCCTGGTTGTTCCAACATCATCCTGT